AAAGGAATCAACGGCAAACCAGAACAGCAAATGCACTTTCACCAGGGGAAGCTGCTCCGAGCAGAGCTCAACATGCCGCAAAAATCTGAAACAAGGCAGCTGCCTGTTGAGAAAATTTTGCGTAAAAACTATTAACTTGTTTTGTTGGCAGCAGGCAGTGGCCCAAAGCACCGAGCCAGGGGACAGACGAGGCAAGGGCGCACATGTTATCATAATTGCAGAGTGCACTTGCAGCCGTCCTACGCATACACTGTAAAAAAGGTTTTAATACAAAATTTTCTAAAATTGTTGATATATCTTCTGTACTGGAATTTAAACATATTGTTCTAAAATAAAGAAAATACTTAGATTTTAGAACGTAGTACGAATTAATAATTTTGCATAAATACCTAGATCATATAATAGATTCTATATTTTTTTTATTTTTAAATCAGTCATCAGTTTATTTAGTCTTAATTCATTTTCTTTTTGTTAAATTTATTTTTTTAAATAAATTGTCAGTTTATAGACTAGAATGCCTAGTAAAGTAAGCGGCTAAAATAATTAAAAAAAAAAATTGTTATAGCTTTACGTCTAAACAAAACGTTCTACTCAATTTGAATTTTTTCTGCCTAAAATTAGCAGAAATCCAGTGTAAAATCTAAAACGTTAATTACAAATTGGACTGCTTAAATAAACATCTGACTTAAAGATTTTTTTAGATTGCCATTTGTATAGCAAAACGTAAATATTGGTTTTTTGAGTGTTCATACATATGCATAAGGAGCTCCCACCAACCAAACACATACTTGAGGAAGCTACTCAACATCTCCATCCTATAAATGAGTAAGAGTTCCCAGTTTTAGGTGGAAAGGGGGTGGGTGGTAAAGAGTGAAAGCCTGACTCGGCAGTGGGGCGAAAGTTTTATGTTTTTCTTGACTGAAAGTTTTGTTACCTTCTCGCTAGACATTGCCGTTGCTGTTTTTGCTTCCCACACCTCATCAACATTTTCGGAAAAGTTTCACTTCAGCTCGGAGGGTTCTATTTTTTTTTTGCAGTACAAATTTTCAACGCTTAAGTGATTTTCGCTGTAGCATACTTTCGAATGCCATTCACATGCGTTCAGATTTTTAAAGTGGCGGCAAAAGCGGCGTTGGCGGTCAACACGCACTGCGGCATCAGTTCGCACACTCTCACAGGACCTCCTCCCCCTGCCCCCCTTGGTACACTCCTACCCCTTGCTGCCCCTGTGGCGTGTGTCTGGCGTTAAATTGAAGGCGTTTAGCGTGGCAACCGAAGGACACTTAAATTGTTTTCGCTTTGCTGCCGCATTTCCCATTTGCCGCTTTGCTGTTTTGACGGTGTCTCGTTTTTTTCGTCATTTTTCCGGAAAAAATCATAAAAAATGCATGGCAATATATTTTCCTGTTGCTCACACAAATTGCGCCATTATTTTTGTATGTCTGTATTGAGTTGACTATTAGGAGCAGCTTATACAAAAAGTTTATTTTTTGTTTTTTTTGTTTCGGTTTTTCTTTTGCTGTGCGTTCATTTCACATGTGTGCAAATGGGTATTTAGGCCAACTATTTGTTTTAAATTCTGTCAACAGGTCTAGAATTGTTATTGCTGTTTTGCTTCTGAGTTTGAATTGATCTACAAAAATCTTTTTAATTTACTTAATGGTTGGAAATAGAAATTCAATATTACATTTTTCCTTTGATATTTTGTTTGCATATTTGCAGGATTTTTATTAATGTATGTAATACTTTAAATAATAACCTGTCATTTTACTTTGTGGACGCTTTCGAAGCTTACTCTCCTAAGCTGCCTTAAGAAAACTAGATTTTTGCAGAAATATTTATACTTGTGTATACTTTTGATACTGAATATTTTTTAAATTTTTGTTGTCCTACTTTTTGTGCATTTGTGATAATATTATAATATTTTTTTTTAATTTTTTTGTTTTTACTTTTCTGTAACCCTAACAATGCTTGAAACTCTTTAAAAAAAGCAGCTCAAGGACTGTGAATTCACTTTTAATTTATTTTCATCTAAAGCTTTCCTTTTGGGCTCAAAACCCAGCGAATCCAATGTAGCAAGTAGATGGCACTTTTTACATGGAAATGATGGAAAGGTCGAATTCAATGGGGCCAAGCCTGCTCACCTGGGATTCATGCGAATGCAAGTATTGGGGGTTAAAGAAAAAACGACCAGGACCAGGAGTGCCAAAAACGGTAACAGATTTAAAAAAAGAAGGCGGACAATCGCCAAAACAATACACACATTTACACGGCTAAAATCCTTACAGGAAGCCAAAAAACAAATTGTAGCGGAAGCACAGCAAACACAATAAATGTTTAATAAGCCAAAACGACTAAACAAGAAAAGGCAAGAAAAAGATAGTCGCAGTCAGTCAGAGAAGAAAGCAAAAGCGATGCTGATGGGGCTGTCTGGATAATGGAAAATACGGTCGAGGGTATGTGCGTTTTGTAGCGGAAACTCAAGCGGAAGCTTCACGAACAAAAACAATGGCGGCGAAAGGAAAATGTGGCATGGGGTACAGGAAAATGTTTAGCAAGGGGATATTTATGCTATTTCAAACAAATTCCAGGAGACACTTTGCCGACATTTAAATTATGTGATGAGTGAGGAGCATAGGAAAGAAAAACTACAAGCCAGAACAATGCTGATGAGTTTCACTCAAGCCATTAAGTGGGTCGCTTAAAAAAAAACATAAACATCACGAAGTGAATGGCACTGAAAAAGTTTCTCTTTTAAAGCTGGTGGAATTTAAGACTTATACTTTACTTTCTCATCTCTCAGTTTAAAACACTCTAAAGATAAGAAAACAAAGAGTAATGGTTTTAAAAAGACGAATTGCATTTTTCAGTTCATTGTTAAAAATGGGTTAATAAAATTAAATAAATAAAAAACAATCCTTCAAAAAAAAATTTGTAGTATTTTTTAAAAATTTGCTTACACTTTTAGAAAACATTTCTGAAAAATAAAATCAGTACCCATTACCAGACAGAGAAAACTAGAAAAAGGTGTGGGTGCAAAAAATAGTGAACCGCTTTTGCTTTACTAAACGGGTTTCTGCACGTAAAACGTCAAATTCGATATCTTAAATTTTATTTGTACACAATAAATTTTGTTTAAAGTTAATAGGCAATTGAATTTTTATTACAAGTTTTTAAGTGTTAAACTTAGTATATATTGGTATGTACAATTATTTAGACAGGAATCTAAAAATAAACTAAGGGCAAAGTGGATTGCACAATGTTTTCTAAGCAAATTAAATTATGAGTCCAATACTGAATTAATTAGCATTTGAAAGAGTCGCCCCATGTCACCCAGCCAATGGAGCCCATTTGAATCTGCCAAGGGGCAAATTCCAGCATCCTTCACTGTCTGCAGGACGAACAATAAAGTGGGCGCCCCAAGGATCCACATTTCCATCGTCTGACCTAGCCCAATACACTTTATCAGGCCAATGATGAATGCCAGGAGGGGGAGGGTAAAAATCAAGCCAAGAAGATAGGCGAAAAGTCAGTAAGCTGAAAATGAAATGAAACGCATAAGAATCGATTCGATTAGTGAAATGAAATTTACGCCAAAATAAATTTGCACGACTTACCTACTTGGCGCGCCTTAGTGTATGCCATATATTTTACTTCTTTAATTTTTTCGACGCTTTTCCGGCTGTTATTGTTGTTGCTATTGTTGTTGTTCTGGGCATGTCATGGTGTTGCCGGCTTTCGTTGGACTTGTTGTCGTTGTCGTTGTTTTTGTCTGTTGTCGCCGGCGTCGTCATTGTCTCTAAACTTTGGTACGTTCATTAATCTTGTGAAGCGTTTTCACTGTGGCGCTGTGTATGTATGTTTATATTGGTTTGTGCTTGTTTCAGCTTGGCATGTTCTTTCCACCCCCTTTTCTGCTCAGCACCCCCTTCCTGAAGTGAGTTTGTTTGCCTGTTGTGCCGCTTGTTTCCTTTCCCACCACTCCACTTCGTCCTTGGCGACATTCTCGTCCTTGCCCGGGACACTTGTGCGACAGTTGTTGCATGATAAGGTTTAATCTATTTAATTGTAATTGATATTTTCGCAAGATACGACAACGCTGCCTTTCTTTTCCCTCTCACATTATTTTTTTGTTGTTCTTTTTTTGTGCGCCCCTTATACCCGTTTATAAACCAAATGAGGCGTCTACAACAACGATAAGGATATAAACTGAACGTTGTTGCTGGCAACCTGTTGGCAACACTTGAGCTTTCGCTAGCTATCGGGCCTAAATCATAATTTATAAAGTGCCAAGAAAAGAAAGTAGTCTAAAAAAAAATTTCACTGTGGCTGGTTTAAAGACCGTACCTGAAAGCATTCTGGCTTGTGAATTTATTGAAAATAATAAAAAATAATTAATTAAACTAGGTAGTTTTTCGGTCTGTGCTGTTGTATTAAATTTTGTTTTACAGAAATGCCACCAAAAAAATTCTTTGAGCTATTTGAGCTTACCAATGTCTAATTTTTCCAATTAGTAAATGTTTTATGTTGCTTCCCAGTATTTTTTCACTAAAATGTAACCAAACAAAAGCTGTGAGCAGGCTTAAAAGCGAAACTATGTGGGCAAATGGGCGCAACGATTTGCAGTACTATGAGCTTATGTAGATATCCTTTTGTTTTAACTGTTTACTGTATTAACTCGTGTTTTCAATGTGTTCCAGATTTAATTAATACGCTTGGCTTATAAGAATGTTAATAATCTTAATATTGAACAATTTTTTTAAGCTGTTAGCATACCCTTGCAGAGCGTATTAAAATTTCAGTCAGAAGTTTGCAACGCAGTGAAGGAGACATTTCCGAAACCTCGCCTTCACTGCGATGCAATTTCTGAATTTAATACCCTCTGAAAAAGTATAAAAAAGCATTAAGTCGTTCTTTAAAAATATAAATACATAAATGTTTAAAAAAGCTATATTAAAAACAAATAAATTGCTAATTAGAAAATTTGTATTTAACCTAAAAAAAGTTTTTTCTTTACCGGAAAAGGGAACATTCAATTCCACCTTGCGTTTGAGTTTTCTGAAGTACTGCTTAGACATTACCGCATTATCAACCCAAAATTTCTCCACCTGCTGCTGATACGATAGGCCCACAAAAATGGCAAATTACCAGACGCATTGTTCACATCGATATTATTTATGCATGGGAGGCTGAGAAGAAAGGCGCCCATTTTCCACAACACTGTAATATTGAACGGATGGGGGGACGACTGAATTTTTTCCGCCTACCAATCACTGCAAGGATAATAATTGTTGTTGCCTATTTGGCACACACAGTGAAGCCGCCAGTCACACACTCCGCCCCTGCCACGCCCCTCTGTCATTCTCAGCGCTTGACTTTGCCTTCCTGTTTGAGCTTTTGTTTTTATTGCTTCATTTTCGATTATCGAGCAATGCACTTATCGCTGCTGAAGTCCTCGCCCATTGTCAACGTCTTCGATCTTTGTCAGCCGAAGGATAAGAACTGGGTGGTGGGAGCGGGATGAGTGGCAAGTGAAGCTCAATCACGCTTCTGTTGTTGTTGTTGTTGCTTTTCCCTGCCTCATCTGTCTCTGTAATTGTTGCTTGTTGATTTCAGTCGCGAGTGCTTTTCTTCCCGGCCTTTCATTCTCCAGTTTTTGTACTTATTTATTTAGTATCTATATATATATATATATTATATATGTTTGTTATATCTATGTACGTATTTTAAGTATATTTTTATAGCGAGCAGCACGCGAAGTCAGACGTTTTCTGGCTGTCTAGGCCGAGTCCTTGTCTCCTTCGTTTTTCTTGCACTCCTTCAAGGATTCAAGTGGAAAATGGCAACTTGGCCATCGTGTCAAGCACTCCGTGCTGGCCTTCCACTCTGCCATTGCACTTGTGCAATCCGCGAACAGTGAGGCTTGTTTTGTGCAGCTGAAAACGAAACGAACTTGAATCGAAAATACACAAAAAACAAACGCAAAGGACGAAATATGTATATCTATGAAAACTTGTTTTACGGTTTTACAAAACAAAAATTATTTATATTAGATACAGCATGGAACCAAATATTAATAACACAAATCTAAATGGATCAAAATATGAAAATGTGTGTCTTCTCTCGAAATCTAAACAGATATACATGTCTATACATATATGTTTCGAGAAATACAGACAGAGTGTCGTAACTTAGAAATAACTATGTTGAACAATGTGTAACAGCAAAAATGTATACATTCCAAAAGAAAAATCATTTTCTTTGTAACTTTATTTTAAAAAAAATTTTATTTGTAAGCCAATAATTATGAAAGTAGATTAATATTTATAATTAGAGGATGCCTTTGAATGCCTAACATAAAATACAATTTTATTCAAATGCCATAAATTCCTTAAATTTAAGATATACATGTTTGGCACTATTTATAAATGCTTAACACAAAATACAGAAAAGACTACGAAATTAACTTAATTACTTACTTAAAACACTCCCCAAATTTAGTCCTAACATGTTAATGAACCATTAATCCTCAGTCTATCTAAATGTTCCGCTTTATCTGACATGCAAAGTTAAAAGTTTTTGATTGTAAATTGATTTAGTCAGAGCTTCGTGAACCATTTTTGATTTGCTTTGCTCTCGGCCATCGGCTTTTGTCCTTGTTTTAATCAGCACAGGACCATCAGCATCACCATCCGAGGAGGGGCAGTCGGAGTGGTCTTTGATCTGGATAGACCGACCACCTGCCCGGTTTTCCCGGTGGCTGTCAGGCCCATGGCCCCGTTTCCAGCGTCATCCACTCACCAATTTTGTCACTAATTTAACTCTTCCGCTGCCACTTAGTCGCTTTTCACTGTAACTAACTAAGTCCCAATCTGGCCATCTCCACCTCCGCGAACTTAACCAAAAACCTGGCCCAAAAGCAGAGCAACAAATGTACCAATTGTGCAGTGGCGAAAAGAGCAACAACGGCTAAAATCGGGAAAGTACGAGTTGTAGTTGGCTGAAAAGGCCTCGGAAAAGTGTACAGCGACGGAGGTGGCGTTGAAAAATGTTCGCTTGGCATTTGCCGAAAAAGTTTTGTGCGCACACAAAATGCACGACAAATGCCAAAAGCTTCTGCTTGTCGAATGCAGGACTCAAAGCCAGTCGTACTGACAGCCTCACAGGATCCCTGAAAACCCCTTTTCTCCTTTCTCCCCCCCCCTTCACTCAAGTCTGTCCTGGTTGGTTTTGGTTCTTTTGTTTTAGTCAGGTCGAGCGCCATTTTCTAGCAATTTTTACTTTTTAATTGACATTTGTTTGTTTATGTGTTGGTTTCGATGCACATACCGCTTCATATATGTATATATATATATATATATGTTACATATGCAATATCTTTGTGTTGGCGAGCACTTTACTACCGGCGGCAGTCATTTTTGTAATTATAGCGCAAAATTGATTTGATTTTTGAGTTTAATAAGTATTGACAGGATTTTTAATGAAGTGGCCAGTGTGTGATGGTGTGTGTGTGTGCTGCCACACCCACTCATACGAACGTGCCCAAGTAAGTGTTTGCTTTGTGGGTATCTGTGTGTTAGTGTGCACAAATCAGCCCCAAAGTATGCAACATTAAAATGTAATAATTTTATGCAAAGCGCTTGTAAAAGTCATGGCCTCCACAAGAGTGTTGGTTTTTGTACACGAGTGTTTCGGTTGCCTCTGCAAAATTCTATTGTTAGCGGCTATTAAACTGATGCCATCGAAAAACTATACGAATTTAAGGGGGAGAACAAATTTATTTGTCTCTTAAAGCAAAGTCGCCGATTTTAGATAAATGTGTATTCTAATTGGCAATTTTAATTCCTTCTAAAATAATTTGAGTTATTGATAAGAAATCGAATTAACTTGTTCGCAAAAACCGATGTATATACGATGTATGTAACATATTTATTTCAATAAGCCCTTTCTTTATTTGCTTAAAATGTAAGACATCAAACATTTTCAGCTATAAATCTTGTATATATTTTCATATATATTTTCGATTAAAAAAATTTATCGCATACTGATATTTGTTATTTTATTATTGACAATTCCAAGATCTCATAAATTGTTAATTATTTTAAACACAGCTATATAGGTCAATATGGAAAATCTCGCCATCTTAGCTCACCATTTAGTTAACACAATTTAAACTAAAGAACTATTAAGTAGCATAGAACCACTTAAAGCAACAATACACATTTAAGAACCAATTTAAATTTTGATTATGCGTTCCAAATGTTTATGAAGTCCAAGTTTAATTATACAGCCAGTCAGCTAGATATTTTATTTATAAATTGCTTAATTTAATTTCGGAGGCCTTGTTGGTTGTCCTGGTCATATTTGGTTCGAGCGCCGCCTCTAAGCCAATGTCCTGGCTGGTGGGGAAAGGAAATGGGAATGGTCAGCTAGCAGCCCTATATAAATTTGCAAATCGACAAATATGTCATGCTCAATACAATGCGTTCTGTGGGTGGTTGTTGGTGCATTTAGGTGGCATTGGTGTGTTTTTGATGGACAATGTTTGCTTATCGCTCCACAGGCTACGTCACTGACCTGGATGGGTTCCGCCCCTACCCCGCCCCCTTTTGCGAGCACGTGACCGACGCCTTGGTTCCAGTTCCCAAATCCCGTCCTTATTTTGGCCCAAAAACACCCACTGTCCTGTGCGCCTAAATGTATGCAAGATAGCATCTGTTTTCGTCGTGTTACCGACTTACACATGTAAGTCACTCATATTTGAGCGCCCCAGTGTGTGTGTGACTAAGCGCCTACATTCATTACACATGTATGCGTGTTAGGCGCAAATATTGAGGCTTTACTTAAACAGCATTAAGTCGAAATTAACATGTCTAAGCCAGGCCAGAAAAGGAAATCAAAGGCGCAGCCATGAATACTAGATAGTTTTGTACCTTTCGGTTTCTATTGAATCAATTGCGGTCTTAAATAAATAAAGCAAAATACATCATGGTAAAAACTAAAATCAACTTCGTTTGGGCTTCAGTCAAAAAAAGAAGAGAAAACAAAAACAAGGCCACAACGAAATTTCAAAAGTATTAAAGTAAACTTCAAGCTTTCTACACATCGTCAGAAAATAGATAGAAAAATAAACTCAATAAATTCATAAAATTTCACGTGCCCCACACGTTGTGAACTAAAAAATGTGCTAAAATTTGAAGTTGAATTTTAAGCTGCTAAAATCCGACGGACTCAAAGCTTCCCGATGACCCATTGAGTGAGCTTTGAAGAGAGCTAAGAGAAAGTTCCGCAAGGAATCTCTCTCAAGTGGTGAGTTTCTATGTTCGGCAGAACGCGCAAAGAGATTAATAGAGTCTCGTGTACGGGTACAGAGAATCCTTGAGTTAAAGAGAAATAGCTCAGCAAGGACTATTGAAGTTCAATTGAGTTCAAAGAGATTTTTCTTGATGAGTTTTTATTTTAGCATTTCTCTCTTACACCTTATTGAGCTATGTTAAAGACTAGCTTGAATCACAAAAAGGCACTCAAATAAGTCTGAGTTGAGAATAATTCTTAAGATTAGGAAGGTTAAACTTACGACTCAAATGAAATTATGTGAGTTCGGTTTAATTTAAAGTAAAACTAATTTTTAAAAGCATGCGCTTAAAAGAATAATATATATTATATCATAGAACAAATTATAGGACATATATTTTTAAAATAATACATTTAAAAATATATAAAAATAATTTAAAAGGTATTAAATCCTAATAAATATAATTTAAAAAAAAAAGAAGGTGTCGTAGAAGGTATATACATCTCTGGTTGTTTAATCTTTAATAATTCTATTATTTTCCTTGCTTAAGTTCAATACTTATACTATAAGGATTTGGACTTCAAAAAGAAAACGCTTTGAAACTGTTTAAATAAATTTATCTGCGCCGATGAACATTAAAAATAAATGTGTTTCCTTAAAAACAAAGATATATTCAATTAATAAATTTAAGAAACAAAATGTTTAATTTGTAAGAATTAAAGGATTCTGATTTCACCGACCTAAATTTTCTAGTAATTAGGAGTCAAAATATATTGAATACAGAATATTTTCTACAGTAAAACTTTTTCAAGATTCTAAGAACACCATTTGCTAACTACCTTACTTCAGATTTATTTACGTATCTTACAAATTTTCAAAAAGAAATATTGATCTTAACAAATGATAGTTTCATTAGTGAAATTAGTAAAATATTTTGTAACAAATTTATATCTCAGTTATTGACTGAATCGACAAATCAATTTACATTTACCGAAAATTTGTATTTTATTTTACACAATTCTTGCCGGGAGCATTAATTTAACAAAAGACTCAAACTAAGACTGAGGTCGTCATTCGCGCAAAGTGGTATTTTTATAAAGAACGTAGCCCCTTGAGGCAATACTGACTTTAACGAGCAGCTGCTACCAAGAAAATTGTCGTGTAAATGAATTGTACTTAATTTTAAGAGCTTTTTGAATAAAAACAACACTTACAAATTATACATGTGTGGCAACTTATACCAATTGACTAAACTGGGAGAGACCGCAAATTGCTAAAAATTTGCACACATATCCGACATATTTAAGTCACCCTTTGGCTATCGATTTCTGGTCGGCCGAAATGCGGAAATTGCCACAAATTCTTGAAATAAATGCGGTTGGCTGCTGTGGCAGATATTCAGATAAATGGATTCAGATAAGACGCATATTCCCGCCGTCACGGCACCGAACCGATGCCAAGTAAAAGTCATTAATAATTCATAAAAATAAATTTTACAATAAAATTCAATTGATTGTGTAAATATTTTACTTTACCGTAGCGGCCAAAAAAACAGAATGGAAAGTGGCAAGGCGACTGATTCGCGACCCAATTCGACCTGCCTGATGTGAGAAAGCGGGAAAGCGGCTTGCTTTTTGATGCTCTGACGGGCTGTGATAAATGTCCTGATCCCAATCCATTTCTGTGTCCTGTATGTGCCCGTGTGGCTTCAACAGATGAAAAGGTAGCTCCTAACTACATTCAGTAAAAAATAAGAAACTTATTGGTTTTTCAAGGCAAGCTTAAATTTTGAATATGAATCAAATAGTCCGAATTGAAATTACACAAACCGTTCCAAAGCACCAAAAAATCAACGAAGAGCATTAAGTTAATGACAGCAGTAAATCTTTTGAAATCAATAACACTAATTAAACAAGAAAGGAAGCAAACTTCATAAGCCCTTGCAGCTATTGCAAAAATTGAAAGCTATATGATATCGTTCTCCGATTTTAATAAAATTAAAAGCGTAATTCTGAATTGTCAAATTAAGTCAAAAAGAATTAAAATAAAATTAAAAAATAGAAAATTTAAATTATTAAACTTTTATTTTTTTTAGAAAGACATCTTTTGGGAAAGTTTTATGCAATTAGCTTTTAAACTGAGAGACTAGACATAACCATAACAGCATTATTTATTAATAATAATTACGCATACAAATTTAATTGATATATTCCACATATTTATATTAAGTGTAATCTTTGCGTAGACAGGTTTAAATTTGTCAATGGTTTCAACTTGGACCGTTCTAAATTTGTTAACCACTGTTGTAATCTTGTAAATAAATATTAAAAATTCAATGCATATTCCATGCTTAATTGGTTTTAATTAAGTTAGCTTAGATAATAAATGAGATAATTGAGCAATTGTTAACATAATCAGAATTAATTAAAATGATTTTTGCAACATTTTTAAATTACGTTACGTAATTTGAATATTCTTTTTTTGATTTTAATTTACTTAAATAAAATTTGAATAAGAAATGGAAAGTTCATCCATAAAAAGCGCTTAAATAATGTGCGCATAGATATTAATTGTATTTCTGTAACTACGAGTGTATGGCGAATAGAAACAACAAAGTTGTAAAAACAAATCTCTGCCTATCCGTACTTACAACAAAAGCGAGGAAAAACATTTATACACGGAGCCAGGCCGCAGGTTAAATGTATGCAAATATAAACAGCGTGTGAAAGATATGGCCAAAGGGGACAAGGTGGGCGTGGTATGGGTATTCCACCTTACTTGTAACCGCCTTGAGCGGTACTTATGCCAATGTTCTCGCTCTCTGCAAGTGCTCGCCTTAAGTGCCTACTCCACTTCATTGTTACACTTGCCTTCCCTTCCTCAACGTGTGTTTTAGCGCGGGGTATGATGGATATGATGGGATACTTAGATAGGAAAAAGCACCTCCACGATGAATCTATCTGGAATTAATCTGACCTGGTTTGATCAAAACAGGGTCAGAGCTTAAAAATTTTAAAGTAGTTGTTCTGCAATTTATTTGTTGGACAACAGCATAAATTATCACATAGTAATGTTTTATTAAAGGCTAAATTAAAAACAAGTATTAGAAAGTAAATAATTTTAAAAATTGCCTAAGACTTTTTAAAAACTAGCAAATATGTATTCTGTAACTTAATTCATAAAATGTGAAATATACAAAACGAAAGAAAAATATTTAACTGAAAGTCGACAAACGCAAATAAGAAACTTGAAGTAATTACAACCACCCTATTACTGAGAAACCCTCGGTGTAACCCTTGAGTAAAAAAGCCCAGTTGCCCTCTTAGAAAATTTGCCGCTTGTCCTCAAGCTGATTAGTGTATGCCATGGCATTTTGATTGCCCGCCTAAGAACTTGGTTCCTGGGACACCTGTTGTTCCAGGACCTTTTTCACTGCCTTCTGACTTGCCTCTCGCTCTCGAAAAAGAAAAGGCGAGGCCAATCGAGCGTGTAGCGAAATAAATTAAATAAAAACAATTGGTAGGAGCTTGGAAATTATTAATAAAAACAAAACCAATTCGCATTTGGGACGAGGAAAAATCGTGAGATCCGTATCCGCCAAACTCAATTCATTTGGTATGCATGACTTACGGCCGCCGACAATGATTTGGTTTTGGAAATTTAATTAGCGTTAAAATACTGTTGGTAAAAGTTATTGGCAGTCGGGAGACGACAACAGGCGCGTATAAATCATAAACTTTTTAGGGTCGCATTTATTTACTTTGGCAGGTTGGACCACTTCTTAGATGGCAGGAAAGCGCAGCCATCACAAAAAAGTCCATAAAAGTTATGAGTTTATAAACGTGAACCGTTAAATTGAAATCGGTCTGAGCGAAATGAATATTTTATTTCATCGAAGCAAAGTAAACCAAAATGTCGAAAAAATTGGGATATCAATTAAAAAAGGAAAAAGGGTTTGACCAGTTGTTAGCGGAAAATTGTTTTAAAGGCAAAAAGTTTGTTTTTGTTACAATCACGCGAATGGGATTTAAAAATTTGTATTAAAATACACATTTAATAAAGATTTAAGTTGACAACGAACGGATTGAATTGATGGGATAAATGAATATTTTCATTCGCTTTGATTTACTTACCCATGTGATAAACTATTGTTGAAAGCTGAATGTAATATACATAAAGGGGTTCAAAAGGTGAGGTTAACTGCAATAACAGTTTTTGTTGTGTTTTTTTTTCGAAACGAAAGTTAAACTAACTTAAAATTGGTAGTAAAAGTGATAAAAAAAACTGAAACAAATTCAAAATACTAATAAGCTAAAATTAATGTTTTGTTCTACAATTTTTCAATAAATTTAAATTTTACACTCTTATTCATGCAGCTTATTTTTTTCGAAGATATTTCAATCACTAACGATTCGGCATTCAGTTGGCCAGCCTAATTTGTCATTAATCAACACCTTTGTGCGGCTTGAGAAACACCTTTATCCCATTCCCTTGGGAAGTTGACATTCTATTATTCAAAGCAAAAAACCAAACCAATGTCGAAAACTACAAATGGAAAATTCTTTCCGCTTATTTGCATAAAGCGACCATAAAACAAAACCGTTACAGAAAATCGAAAAAAAAGGAAAGCCAGAACAAAAAAAAGAAAATACGGAAACCGCAGAGAGAACTTCATTTATCAAGTGAGCTGAATCTACCGAGCCTCTCTAACACATTTAATGATAAATTGCCCGGCAGTGAGCGGACCACATGTCGTATGATTGACGTGTGCACTAATGCCCAGCCTCAGCTTATGTCCTTGTCCCTCTGATTTTCATCTCCAATGTCCCCGTCTCCGTCTCCGCTTTCTGCATAACTATGCAAAATCGCAGCCAAACTATTTATAATATTTTAAGCCCAATCCCCTTTCACTTACTCCCCCCTAACCCACCGCATCAATCTCCTTGCTTCATATTAGTTATGCAGGCGGGGCTGCGTTGATGAGAAAATGCAAATTAGTTGCCAACTTTGCCACAGCCCGCTACTCATGAAGTAAATAGCTAAAAAGTGAAAAAAGGCCAGCTTCAGCTGCAGCATCACCTGCTCTTCTGCTCTTCTGCTCTTCATCAGTGTCACAAACAGCCGAAAAGTATGCAAACATTTTTCGCACTTTATAATTAAACAACTCAAAAGACAAAGAAGACTTAAAGGCGTTTGCAGGTCCTTGCCTTTCGTCCTTACCCAGATGTCCCCCCTCCCGCCTTGTCCCCTTTTAACCAAGACTGGCAACATTTGCACTGTAATGAACTTTTGCAATAAACTGCGCCGCAATTTTTCGCTGACAAAGTTTGGCCCTTTCTACCATCAAGGCGAAGAGGTCGAAAAGAGAGGAGCTGCATGGCAGAAAGCGGCGAAGGCGGATGTAGAGGGCACCATTTTGTGCCTTTTGCTTATTTGTTTTGTTGCGTCTCTTATTTCCGGATAGCTGCGCATTTTTATTGCGCTCAAAAAGTATATGCAAGTTCAAATGTCAAACTACTTAAAAACTTATTGTTAGCAAAAGTACAGCAAACGGCAGGAATAGACAAAACTATGGAGAGAGTGAGATGATGCTTTACGGATTCCGACTTCTACACCGATTGGTAGACACAATAAAAAATGGTTTATTGAAATTCGGTACCCATTTAAAATAATTTAAAAAAGTTGCGTATTGTGTTTTATTAACCTGAGATACTTTTATAATATTATATCAGCTTGTAATTAATTTAAAAATATTTTTTAATTATAAAATTTAAAGTCGAAACTTATTTTCAAATAACAATTTTTAGAGAACTTTTCAAGCTATTTAAAATCACTAAAGATTTCTTTGGCACCCCTGATTATAACCATTTTAAAAGCTAAACAAGCATCTTTCGCATTTGCAAACCTCTTCTCAAGCAATATTCCAGAGAAGTCAAGCGGATCGCGACAAGTTTTTTGGGCAAATTGCAAAAACCGGCAACGAAAGTCAAACATTTTCAATAAAACTGCACAAATTATTTGTCATCTGTGGGACTGGGAACTGAGAACTCTGGAAGCCTTTCGAAAATCCACTTCCCAGGGTGCGAGAACAGGAAGCGGTAGATAACCGCACCACGTAGCTCTGAACACGTTTCAAGTTTTCACTTTAACTGCAAATCAAAATGTATTTAAATGCATTTGGTCGTGATGGGTATACAGCTTCAGTTTTCCCCTCCCAATCCCCTCATTTTCAGGTCCCATTTGCCTGCTAGTAAGCTCTTCTGCTGGTAGCCGACTTCACCTTTTTGGTGGCACAAATAGACATTGTTGACTTTGCATAATAATTGAGTTTAACTACTGCAAAATGGGAAATGGAATCGTGAGGGAGTGCAGGGTTCTTGGGGGTGTGAGTTTAGCTGCTTGGATGGGTTTTGTTTGTGGTTGAAGGAGCCCAGCCAGCCGAGAGTCAAAGCCAACTGAAGGACATGCATCCACCTATCCAGTCAGCCCCCTCATCCTCTATTCTGCTGCAATTTCCCCCAAACCCTGGTTCCTGGTAGTGTGTGGCATCGAAATTTTTGGAAATTTCCTCTGAAGAGGAGGAGGGATATATCCCCTTTTTCCAGCCAAACACACACACACTCACCCAACGCTCATCTGCAAAACAAACTTGGGCATAGTGCAAACTGCTCACGCACCATCTACCCATATCGCAGAATCAGGATATGAGGAGGGATGAGGATGAGGGCCAGAAACTGGCATGTTACCTCCTATTGCGGTAACCAGCCACAGTCTGTGGTGAAAAGTAAACGGCAGATGCCATCAAGAAGGCTACAAGTCTAGCTGCCTCTGACTGGGGATTTGGGGCATTT